GCCAAAATCAGATTCCCAAATTGAAAAGGAGGAGGAGGAGAAAATATAAGATAGAAACAAAAATGTAACATTCAAGATGAGACATTCCAAGATTTAGCAGGTCTCCAGCCTGAAATATCTCAAGTATTCTGTGGTGAAGATTTTTAAGACTTGAACATGTGAAAGGGAAAAGCGTGGGGGCCTTCGCGCCCTGTGTGTGCGTACTCTGCAGTATACAAGTTTACCCCATTGAAAATAAATCCATCTATTTTTCTAATATGATAAAAAAAAAAAAAACAATGATCCATTTCTCCTCACTGATGATTGGAATATTTTAGATGCCATTGTTAATGTGAAAGTATGTTTTAGTATATGCATTCAAAAAATCATCATCATGCTTGTGGAAATTTGAGCAAATTAAATCTAGTAGAAAACAAGTGATGTTACGTGCTAAGAAATTTTCTTTTGGGAATACATGAATCATTATATTAATTAGTGAAACCTTATATATGACTTGATTTTATTATTATTATTTTGGTTGAATTAAGTAACTTAACTAATTTTATCATGTATTGACCTATATTATTATTATTATTATTATTATTGATATGAGTGAAAACTACATAATAAATGGATTGAACTAAGAATAAGTCTCATTCAACACATACAAAGCTTTGGATCAGACAAGGATGGACACGAGTATTCTAATAGGTTAGTGTTTATGTTTTGCTTTTAAAATGCATCATGGAGATTAGTTTTGTGGACTTGTAGTAGATTCTGCTAAAAGAAAATCATTATTATTATTTTAACATTTGCCGGAAAATTGAAGCAATTTAGTCCAAAAGACCTAGATTTCTTTAATTAAATCGATTGTCTAAACATAAATGATGTGACACGATTTTAACTATCAAGGATCTTTCTTATTTTACTATAATATCAACTTTACATTATTGTGAGAGAATTCAAACTATTTTTATCTTTAGGAAAGCCTTTAAACTCTTTTTCTCTTCTCCAAAAACTCTTTCACTCACACATCAAATGTCATCTAAAACTCTAACTCGTTAGAACTTTGACCGCCCACCTACTTCCCACTCGACTTTCATCTTGCTAGTATTATCTACTCCTCTCACTAGTTGCATTTATTATCTTTGGTTGATTGGTTGTTGTTTGTACAAATTACAATACTAACTCTTTACATCTAGATCCGTTTGTTGACTAGTCGTTTGATTAGTTATCAAATACCTCATCATACATTTTGATGACTCCATTGAGGAGCAAATAATTGTAAAAAACAATGGCCTCTTTCAAGACCATCATGAAAAATATTAATCCTGTAACCGGATCAATCACCTACGTTAATGATAATACCCTATCCGATTCTAATAATAACCTTGAAAACACTAGTTAGCTTAATATTAAGAATGGAAACAATACTCAAAACCTTCAAATTAGAGTGGCGGTTGCCGACATTACTAAGAGGTAACCTATCTCAAACTCACTACTTAAGCTCCTATCACAATTATTACATAGACGAGGCTTTCGAGGCCATTATCAAAATCTTGAAGATTGTACAAGATACTTAGTTTAGACAACACTAAGAACAACAATAGGTATTCAAAGTCCTCAAAGACAACAATATTGTATTTGCCTAGATTTTCAATGGCATCACCCAACTACTTTATGTGGGTGGACTATCTTAGACTACTATCTCTCAAACCATGATCCCATGAACCCTTAATGTAAAGGATGACCCAAAATCACTTGTTTCACTAAATGATAGAAAGGCATGTTTCATACCAAACACCACCATCCGATCGTGCACTAACATCAACCTCTTCATAATGGTGTTTCTTTTAGTAAACAATGTCACTATTTTATTAAGGACTTAGAAAAGTTTTATGAACAAAATCTACTAGTAAGTTTGATCTCAAACTTTCTTATCCAATTCATATTATCATGAAGCTATATCTAAAAGATTATGTTAGTCCAAAGTTCAAAGTTTTTAATAGAAAACCAAAGAATATCAATGGGTATATATATATATTTGTGTGTGTGTTGAGCTCGATTGTTGGTAAAGCACCGACCAACCTTCCTTTTAAGTTGAAAAAAAAGACATGCAATTTATCTTTTATTTTCTCACATGTTGTGAAAGACAAAGGTATGGTAATTTTTTTAAAAAAAAATCTTGGGATACGAGTTTCTTTTTTTAGTTGTTCATTATCTCTCCCAAGTTAGGGAGGAAGCAAAATTTTTGTTTCAAAGTTAGATTTTCCTTTCATATAGGTATTTGGTGGTAAGCAAAATTTTCATAATATGCTTAATGATTATATATATATCGGAAAGCCAACGAGGATCGTATAAGAGGACAAATGCACGGTATTTAGTTAACGGGTCATTATTTTTTATGTGAAAGTCTTTTTAATGCAAACTTTACTAATCTAGAAAGCTAATTTAGAGGTTCATAGCTTGGTGGTGACATAAAACCACTCACGATACATTTTTAGGCCTACATGCATTTATTTTCAATTTGTTGAGCAATGAGCCTCACGAGCAAGTGTGCAATCGCTTTTAACTTGTTGAACAATAAGACTCATGACAAGTTTGATCATTGTTACTATAATGGAAAGGCTTACTACAAGTCCATCATATGTTTCATTTGTTTTATATGTGTTGAAAGACTCCGACAAGTTTACCATAGTCATTGTAATGTTATTTTTTCTAACTTCATTTTTTTTTCTATATCGACATATATGATTATACGAACAACTTTACTAGCAAAGTTGTCCTCGCAAGAGGCTAAATGAACATGCTTGATTTTTTTCTAAAATTGATTAGGTAATTTAGCTAATTTTATTATATGTTAATCCATGTGTTTTTTTAGCATAGATCCAAACAACTCAAGAAATGGATGGAACTAAAGATGAGTCTCATCTAGCATAAAGCTTTGGATTGTGCAAGGATGAACACGGGTATTCGATAGAGTTAGTGTCCATATTTTATTTTCGAAATGGACTAGAAATATTGATTTGATAGGCTCGTAAGGTCTGCTAAAGACAAGGCTAATTGTTTTTTTTTTTTTTTTAACTTTTGCTAGCAAGTTGAAATAATTTATTCCAAAAGAACTAATTTTCTTCAACTCAAATATGACTCTTCAAATATGGATGATGTAGCACAATCTTAATGGTTAAAAGTCATCCTCATTTTGCAATAAATACCAACTTCATATCATCGTGAGAAAATTCTAACTTTTTTAATCTTTACTACAATCTCTAAACTCTTACACTCTTCCCTCAAAGCTCTCTCTCTCTCTCTCTCTCTCTCTCTCTCTCTCTCTCTCTCCTTAGAACTTTCATACTTACACACTAGACATCATCTAAAACTCTATATGTTGAAACTTTGACCATCCACCTGCATGTCACTCGATTTACGTCTTGCTAGCATTGTCCGTTCATCCTCGCACACCTATCACTACTCACATCTATTTTACTTACTTGATTGATCATTATTTATATAAATCACAAAATTAATTCTCTTCATCTAAATTGGTCCGTTAATCGGTACTTTGATCGGTTCTTAAAATCTCCCCTCACACGAACCTACTAATTGAGTCCAAAATTAATGTCATTATTCAAATATTCATAATCTTCTTAAGATTTTTCTTGTTATTTATCAACTATACAGTGAAAATCATGTAGCAAGAAGAGTATCTAGCCAAGAGATCATGTTCACAAAATTAAGAACATACTTGGCCAAAACTTCGATGGAAATTAAATGTTTCAGAAGACAAAAATCACAATGGTACCTTGGCAATTTCAAGTGCTCATTTTTAGAATAACTAGTATATGAACGAATTCATGAAGCACATGAAAAAAAAAAAAAAAAAATTATATCCGATCTTATTCTCAATCATCTTATTTAAAAACAATTCTCTTTCAAAATATATCAATTGCTGCATTTTTCAAAATATATGGAAATTTTTTTCATTGACTAACTTATCTGTTCCTTAAAGTTTGATTAATTTATTCTCAATATACAATTGCAAAATAATTTATCTACTCCTTTAGAGGCAGTGGATCAAATCATCGACTTTGAAGACGTCTATCTTTCTAAAGAGAGATGTCAAATAATAATGTGAATCAAGACAAGAAGAACAGCATTTTATGCGTCATTATTAAAAAATAAAAAATAAAAAGCATCTCCCAACACGGGTAACAAATCAAGGCTTGAAGTTCCATTGGCCAATAACCAAAATAAGGGTAAGCAGATTACGGTGCTAGTCTGCCAAAGTTGAGAGTCCAGGAAAGTGCCAATGTCACAAAAAAAGAAAAAAGTGTAATTATTATAAGGGAGCCCTACATTAAGGTGTTGTGGGTCCATGTAAACACCAAAACAAAGAGATAGGACCCAACTTGGATACCCCACAATTCCCGCGTAAAATAAAGTTCCCTGCAAAAGAAATAGTGAATTTCACTATATATAAAAGATATGATTACAATAATATACCAATACAAAATGATTATTAAATATTTAATAAGAATCTGATAATAATCCATCAAAGAAAAAGTTAGCTGTCTGCAAAGAAGCACAGACTTCGCCCGTGAAGAGAGGCTTTTGTATCCTTTTGAAATAGGATCCGTTTATCAATATGTAGGCCAGCTAGCTATATATATATATAATAAAGAATTATATACACGTAGGAAAGTAGATACTTGGAGAGATGGTGATTTATTAGAATCATTGTATTGGCCGCTTGGATTCTTTGCTTCGATTCATATATAATCAAATCTTTTTTGACTTTTAAAAATTGAAATTAGTTTGGGTAGCAACAAAAAGTAATGAACAAAAGTTAGAAGATTAGAACCTCTAATATGATTACGACACCAGATTCCAGAATTGCCATTTTTTATACATTAACTAGCAAAACCTCTAAAATCTAATATAACACCTAAGAAGATCATTAAACAAAACATTTTTTTTTATGGAAATTGACAAAAGTTGAAACAGAGTGGCATCATGCATCTTTATCTCAGTGCCTCAAATCCTTTCTCCTTCCTCACATGATTCTTCAACCCACCTGCACAACAAATTCACATGATTAAACCCAACTAGCATTAAAAAAGAATATTATAACAGTTGAAACAATGTTGTACAGTTAGAGCTAAAATGATGTACATTTTTTTAAGGAAATTTCTTATAGTTCTTTGTGAAAGGTAACAGAACGAACAAACAAAACAAAGAAAAAAACAAGTCAGGAAAAGGAAAAGGTGAGAAAAAACACAGAGCTCTGTGACCCTTGACCAGTTTCTGAGACTGAGACAACAGCCAATGAATGTAACTGTAAGACAGTAAGTAACAGACAGGGCATACAGATGCAGGCAATAAAATCGATGGCAGTTTCGTTTCCTAATTAAACTCACAACAGAAAACCATGTCCAGAAAAAAAACTGCTAGCTGATTAATTAACCATTTCATAACTTACAAACCATGTGCCCTCTATAAAACAAGAAAAAGAAAATTAAGAAGCTGACTATTAACTAATTAATATACACACACACGAAGAACAATTAAATTATATCCTTGAGGGAATCAATTAATTAATAAAGATTAAGAGATGATCATGAAACAAAGAAAATGAAGATTAAAGAAATGTGATATACCTTGAGGTTTACAGTCAGGTGGATCTTCAAAGAGTGATAAAGAAAGTTGCTTATAGGCAAGCCCAATGTCAAACAAAATAAGTCCTGATCTTGGATCATCAACTGTGATATCTTTCACGGGCAGCCAGAGAAAGAGTTCTTCTTGAGACAAGCCGACAACTCCTGAGAGACTACGATAAGTGAGATTAGCCCTCACTACGCTTTCAAATAAAACCCTATTCTCATATTTGGTCAAGCATGGACCATCAAGAAACACCTCTAAGTAGCCATCTTCAGACAGAGTGTAGGACTTCACTTCCTTGGGGAGTAGACCAGCTGGTAACCCTTTTGAGATAAGAAGTTCATGGATTGAAGAGGAGAAAGAGAGTTGTGGAGAGAAAAAGATGAGCAAACTTAGTGTGCAAAAAAAGACTATTGTAGTCTTGGTGTTAAAGATGGCCATGGTCGTTTGTTTAGAGAGTAAAGAAGAGGGGAGAGAGAGAGAGAGAGAGAGAGAGAGAGAGAGAGAGAGAGAGGGTTTAAGGGATGGTTTTTGGGCTGGAAAGTAGAAAGACAGTTTTAACAAAAGGGAGGGTTAGAGAGGTGGAGTTACCGAATTGACCATGGTTGGTGGTGGATGGGACCATAGTTTTTAATTGTTTTGTAATGTATCAACCTAATGAGCCTTAATTGTAGGTGTTGGGTTTGTTGTTGATAGTTTATGGAAGTCGTTTGGTGCCTTGCTTCATCATTCTACTCTATTGTCTTGTAAGGACTCAGACCTCTTTAAGTAATGCACCCAAGAATAGTTTGCATTATTGTGAGAGCAACTTGTTGATACAACAAATTCTATAATCGTTGAATTTACAACAATTATAAAACCTAATCAATTAAACATTTATGTATAAGATAAATAACTATGTTAGCTAGGCAGTTACCACAAATTTTAATTAAAATATTAAACATTTATATATGAAGAAATTTTATTTTTTTATAGTTGTATGATTAATGAATTTTCCAACTCAATGATGTAAGGCTGGAATGTGAATTAGTGTGGAAATATCAAGAGAGTTTTTTTTTCTAAACAAGTTCTAACGTTCTAACAAAATATAATTGAATTAGAAAGCAAACAACCATATACATAAAATTAATTTTTTGAAATATATTCACTTACTTTGAATGAGAAAAAAAAAAAAAAAAAAAGTAAACCTCAAAAATGCATCTCAATTATTGGGTTAGTATCAATTTTGCCCTTCAATGATATTTTTATTAATTTTGTTCTGAAACAATTTTAATTTCTCAACTGGGCTTTTTGTAGAATTTCTCAACCAATAATATTGATTTTTCTATACAAAAAAACCATTATTTATCACCAAAAAGAGTAAAATTTGGATGGAAGTTGTGATCATATAAGGATAGAAAGACTTGATTGAGAATTTTTGAAACTTAAGAGGATAAAATTGATACAAAAAAATTATTTGGTGTTAACATCGAAACTACACGTATAGTTGGCTGATATTTTTTTAGATTTGCCTTAAAAAAGAAAAAAATGAGTGCAATTGTAAAATTTACCCCTATTTTCCGCTTCCATCACGCAAGGGAAAGAATAATCATGATAAGTAGTATTAGAAACAAAGTTTTAACATGTACTATAAGTTTCTTGTCTTCTAATACTCTACGTTTAACTTAGAAGCATAAGCAAGAAAATTGTCTTTTGTCATGAACCCATGACCTCAACAAGTCGCTAAAAAAATTAAACAAACAATGAAACAGTGGATTCCATATAAGGGTTGTATCTATTAACGAGAAAAAAAAATTAGTTAGAAATAAATTAATTAGTCCTTTTTATTTTAAAAAATAATTATTTATTTCTTATATTTTTTAATTTTTTTGAAACTTTTTTTTAAAATTTTTTGTTTTTTGTTTAATCTTAAGAAAGAAAAAAATAAGTAAAAAGATGAAAAAGTAGACAAAAATAGAAATATTTTTAAAATAAAATAATAAAAAATTAAACATAATCAACATTAGTTAAAAAAAAACTAAATAATTATTTTTTAAAATAAAAGAGACTAATCAATTTTTCTTGGTACTATATATATTCCTTTTATTCAAAAAAGTTGTTGCTTGTCCAAAAATTAAAAGTAGTACAATGATGAAAATGTACAGATTTGCTTTCTCCTCAACGCAAGCAAACTTTCAATAATTTAGCTAAAATCTTGGGTCCCCTCCTAAATATATGCAAACAAAATAAACTTATCCTAGTACTTGTTTTGCTTTTCGTTTCTCATTGCTGAAAATTCACACCAACACAATTATACCAATCACCGAGAAAAAGAAAAGATTTCTACCATATGGCCACAAGTACTTTCCCGGTTCAAAAAGAAAAAAAATAAAAGATAAACTTAAGGAAGTACTTATCCCAGCAAAAATAAAAGATTAAACAATTCAAGCCAGAAAGGAAATCAACCAAGGTTGACTCGTAAAGGCAATTTGGGTAATTTAGAATCGGTTATGGAGTACAAGAAGAGTGTAACGGATGCTTGTGCAGCTAACAAGGCAGGACTTCGACGTTCCCTTCATGCCAGCTCCACAGTCGAATGAAGGGTAAAAAGGTTAATTTATCACATCATTGGTCCTTGGGCATGATTTTAAGAGTAAATTATAAATTAGTCTATCTCATTTTGAGAAACAAATTATTTAAAAACATCAAATAAATTAATTCATTATGTTTTAATTTCTTCCCCAATTTAGCTTTTTTTATCAATTTTTTTTATTAGATTTGTGATGAGATATTCTACTATAATATTTTTTAAAAAATATTTTTTATTATCTTATTTCTCTCTTCGCCCATTCTCTTTCTCTCTGCCTTATGCAACATAATTTGAGTAGACAATAATTTAAAAACTAAAACAACAAGGGTCCAATCATGTTTGTAGCAAGAACAACCAACTACAAATCGTCCCCTAAAACTTATCCTCCATGCAAAAAAGTGAGAAAACAAGTAAAGACCTTAATTTCTAACCACCAAACGTAGACGAACAATAGCAAGAAAACCCAGTATAGAATGTAGAAAAACTATTCTGAAAATTCGCAAGATCTACAATTTGAAGCTTGCAAACAACAATATAAGGAAGGCCAAGAGCAAGTTGAAGAAGTAGAAATAAGAAAACAAAATGCTGAAAGTTTAGACAAGTTAAATTAGCAATTGAAAATTGAAAATCAACAAGTTGAAAAGGCAAATCAACATGCTTTTGATAATGAGAAAACTTAGAATTTAATTCCTAAAAAGTTGATTAGGAAGGACATAGTATTTCAGGTTGAAAATATTGTTGTTAATAAAAAAGAATACAAATTAGTCTTTGATCAACACAATATACTTGATAGACTCTCTTAAAAACTTAAATAAGTTTTGCATATATCGAGACCTCGTACAATTTGATTTTTTTTTATTGAGAACCTAAAATCTTTTTCTATTCAATTTAAGTGTTATACTCTTGATTTTTTATTGTTTCGGACCCTAATGTGCCACGTAAACAAATGTGGCAAAGTCTACTTAATGACAGATTGACATGTGGCAAAGCCGACCCAAATTGATTTTTAACGAAAATTAAAAAAATTCTAATGAATTTTTAATTATTTAAGTAATAATAAACCTAAAATAGGTTATGAAAAAATACCAATTTATCCTTACCTACTAAACCCAAAAATTCCTTAAATCCCCCTCTCCCCAATTTTAGGCGGTTCCAAAAGCGGAACTTGCCCTTTTTCCTTCTATCCTTATCGATAGAACTTGCAAACAATGAGAAGCCTTTAGAATCGTGTAGATTGGCTGGTATTGTTCTTAAAAAACTCTTTGGATGCTAAAGATTCCATGAGAAAGGAACACCTTGTTCAACAATGGATGACAATTGAAATTTATGTCAAATCCCAAATCAAAGACTTGTTCTTTAGGACTCTTAGGTCATTTACATCGGAAGCAAGGCACACTTCGCCCAAGTGATTGCAAAATTTTGGGTCCATTGAGATTCCATAGAAGCAATGGCCCGAGCTTATCTCATCATTGCTTAACAATATGACCTAACAAGATAGTACTTCCTTTGAAATAGGTAACTTTGAAAACTCTTAGATTTGTTTGTGAGGAAATATTCCACCAGGATCTTATGCAAGATGAAGTGAACTTTATTCTCACTTGTTGTTGTCCAAGGCATGAACCTTGTTGAACACAAACGTGAAGTACGTCTTGTAGCAACAAAAGCCTTGTATAGTGCCTTAGATTTTGCTCAAGCCAACTTTGAAAATGAAATGGAGCACAATTACATCATGAAGGTGGTCTATGAAATTGGGAAAGCGAGAATAAGGGAAAATGAGGATTAGGGTTTAAGCTTTGATGAAGTTGGGAAAGGAGAAGGAGAAATTAGGGTTGATTGCAATCGGAGGTAGGAAAGAGAGAAGAAAAATGCGAGAAAAAACTAAAACGAATGGGGAGAGGGAGGAATTTGGGAAATTTTTGGGTTTAGTGGGTAAGGATAGATTGGTATTTTCATAACCTATTTTTAGGTTTATTATTACTCAAATAATTAAAAATCCATTAGAATTTTTTTAATTTTTGTTAAAAATCAAGTTGGGCTCGCTGTCACGTGTTAATCTGTCGTTAGATAGCCTTATAACGTGTTCTTACGTGACACATTAGGGTCTAAAATAACCAAAAAAAAAAAAAAGTATAACACTTGAATTGAATAGAAAAAAATTTAGAATCTCAATCAAAAAAATTCAAATTATATGGGGTCTCATTATGTGCGAAACCCAAACTTAAACCATTGCAAAAAAAAAATAAAAAATAAAAAAAAATAAAAAAATAAAAGAGCCTAATTGAAAACCAAGGAAACATTATGGAAGATTGAAAGGTTGAGACTAAGAAAGTTAGACAAGTTCTTCAATCAATTGATTTTGTCATTCCACACTAATTTGACAGACATAATAAAGGTTTGTTAAGATATCATCATTACTGTTTATGACAGGTATATAAAAAAAAAAGTTGCACAAATCAAGTGATTCCTATGCAATATTGTGGAAGTAGTGCAAAATCTCAAAAACTTTATACTTGGACATTTCAAAATACTTTTCTTTTTAACGAAAAATATAGAAAATACATGGCAGGTTGACAATTAGATAGGAATAAGAATTTACCTTGCTTTGATGGAGCCCCGCCCTGCCTCGTATTTATTTTGAGCGGGGATAGGGTGGGGATAGTATTTGCTCACCCCGTCCTATTTGCTCCGCTCCATCTATGAAATTACAATTATACCTTTTATAAAATCTGTGATTATTGACTTTTAAGCTTTATTTCTATATAAATTATTATTTTTTTGTTATAATTTAAAATTTGATAATAGAATGAAATGGAATAGGACATAAACAAAAAATTAAACGAAGCGCTAATATCTCGCGAGAAATGGTGTGAGA